ACTTGGCAACTTTAAGATAGGTGGACGGACCTCAACTCCAGAATTCCCTGGCTAGCGTGGGTGGACTTCAGTTCCCATCCTTTTATTGGACTGCTCGAGTTTAGAGGCACATCTTCTCAGGTGATTGGATTGGATGGGTCTTCTCCATCAGCGCCATGCACTGCAGACCACCAGTGCAAGAAATAAAGAACATCAGGTGAACATCAGGTGGATTTCTTGGGATAGCATCCATCTCCCTGGCAACTCCTCCCGCTAACCCACCGATAATGTTAATGTTTTGAAAGGAAAAACCAAGAAAGTCCAGTTTTGGGGGGGAAAAAAAGAGTCACTTTTGGGACAACAAGAGTCAGAAAGGATCTTGGAGATCTTCTAGTCCACCCTTAGTCCTTCTCTTTCGTTAGACTAGACGCGTCTTCAAGAACTTTGTTTTGGAGTGCAGACAGAGTTGGCCTTTGAGGTCTAGCGGAAAGAATTTTCTCCAGCGCTGGAAATTCAGTTCTGGGAAAATACCCATCAGTGAATTTGGGAGGAGGGGAGGATAACTTGAGGACATCATGAGCAATTAAAGAGGAAGGAGAGTTGATCGGAAGGTTCATTTGAGAGGACAGATGAGATCAGACTCTTGAGCGACACTGTTTGAATTATTTGTTAGCTTCTGGTCCCTTTTGGGCAGAAGGACGCTCTGTTCTGTTATCTGAAGAAAAAGGACACCAGCTTGATGATTCACAGAGACCTTCCTCTGGCTGGAAATAGCCATCTGGCTGAATGGAGCTCTTTATCCAGTTTGTGGCGCATCATCACTGAAAATGTTCTGAAGGATTCTTCCCTCTGCCTGGCCACCTTTCCCTCTTTCTCCTTTGAAATTATCATCTGCGGGATTCCATATTTAAAACAATGCTGTTGCAGCACCAGCACCATAATTGAATAGCTACTAACTTCAGCCATCCTTATCTACTTTTAAAAAGACCAGTTTACAATGTACATAATCATTAGGCAGTTTCCTTCTCCCTTTCCTTTCCTTTCCTTTCCTTTCCTTTCCTTTCCTTTCCTTTCCTTTCCTTTCCTTTCCTTTCCTTTCCTTTCCTTTCCTTTCCTTTCCTTTCCTTTCTTTCCTCTCTTCTTCCCTTCCCTTCCCTTCCTTCCCCTTTCCTTTCCTTCCCCTTCCATTTCCTTCCCCTTCCCCTTCCCCCTTCCTCCTTTCCTTTCCTTTCCTTTCCTTCCCCTTCCCATTTCCTTCCCCTTCCCCTTTCCTCCTTTCCTTTCCTTTCCTTCCTCCTTTCCTTTCCTCTCCTTTTTTTACTTGCCTTCCCTTCCTCCTTCCCTTCCTTCCCTCCCTTCCCTTCCCTTCCTTCTTCCCTTCCTGTCCTGTCCTGTCCTGTCCTTCCCTTCCCTTCTCTTCCTTTCCTCCTTCCCTTCCTCCTTCCCTCCCCTTTCTTTCCTTCCCTTCCCTTCCCTTTTCTTTTCTTTCCTCCAGAAACTCATTACTTCATGCTGCATGTCTCCTTTTACATGAAGAAGAGGAAGCACAGATATTGTGACTTAATTTTAAAATGTAAACATCCACCAGTCAGGCAATTGTCATTTAAAATTAGGCATAAATGCTCACCGCAGGTTGTCTTAAAATGTATTTCCGTATAGAATCCCAAACTCCTTCTCTCTTTTTCCTTCCCTTCCCTTCCTAACCAAAAAATAGGTGGGTGGAAAATCAACTGTCCACTGAATGGTAATCATGGTATCAATAGCAATGGAAGTTACACGAAGCATAGTTTTGCTATTACCAATGATGGCTTTTCTATGCAAACCTTCTGAGGTATGGAGATATACTTTGATTTTGTTCTGTAAGTCTCCCTCTCTCTCCTACCGTGTTTCCCCCCAAAATATGACCTACCCTGAAAGTAAGTCCTAGCTTGATTTTTACACATGTGCCCAATATACGCCATACCCCCCAAATAAGCCCTAATTAAGACCCCACCCACTCCATTATTTGCCTTTTTTGATGAATATATATATATATCTATATATGCAAAAAATTAAAATCTCTGGTGTTTTCCCGCGTCATATTAAATAAGTTAGTTAAAATGTTTAAAATTCTGTTTAAAATCCTAGCTTAAAATCTTCTAAAAATCCTTACAGAGCACTCTGCAAGGTCCTTTAAAACCTTAGCTAAAATCCTACCAGTACCTTAAAAGTTTTTCTTATAGCAACATTTCAACAGGCTCACCACCCTGTCATCTTCAGGCTCTTATCTAGTTTAGAAGCTGTGGATAAGATAAGAGCCTGAAGATGACAGGGTTGTGAACCTGTCGAAATGTTGCTATAAGAAAAACTTTTAAGGTACTGGTAGGATTTTAGCTAAAGTTTTAAAGGACCTTGCAGAGTGCTCTGTAAGGATTTTTAGAAGATTTTAAGCTAGGATTTTAACCAGAATTTTAAACATTTTAACTAACTTATTTAATATGACGCGGGAAAACACCCGAGATTTTAAGTTTTTGCATATACACACCCGCGAAAACTTAAGAAGACAGATATCTCTATATATCTCTATATATCTACATCTACATCTATCTATCTATCTATCTATCTATCTATCTATCTATCTATCTATATTTGCTTTCTTCTCTTATGTTTTATATGTATTTTTCTTCAACCGGGTATTTTCCTACGTAAACCAAGTTTCTCAAATTGCAGCCATAGCTCAGTGAAATCTCATCCACTATCCTAGGCTTCTTCAGACAGCAAGCATGCAATTTTGCTGCCTATTGCCCAATAGGAAATATTGTTTACGTAGGAAAATACCCGGTTGAAGAAAAATACATACATACATACATACACACACACACAGACACACACACAGACACAGACACACACACAGACACAGACACACACACACACACACACACAGACAGACAGACAGACAGACAGGCAGGCAGACAGGCAGATAGATAGATAGATAGATAGATAGATATAAGACAGGATCTTATTTTCGGCGGAACATGGTAAAAAGATGGTTAAAAGATGCCTCTTTCCTGATGTTTTTCATTATTTTAATGATTGGTTTTAATTTGGGTAGTGATTGGTTTATGTTCCTTACTGTTTATTGTTGTAAATTGCCTGTATTCTTGGAATAAACAAAGGGGTGAATGTAACACTTGGTTGCTACAAGCTTTAATACTTAAATTAAGGAAATAGAGGCTTTGGTTTGGAATCACTTGTAAAAAAACGCTTAAACGGGACGATCTTCTTTCTAAACCCAAATCCCAAATATTAACGTAGCCTGAGCCCCTTTCCCCTGCTCCCTCGGATGATAAAATGAATTAGTACAGCCCCACTCCTGGGAATAAAACAAACTCTTATTAAGGGAGGAATAAATTAGTTGGCTTCCTTTACATCTTCATCCCTTTAGCAAATCAAACAAGGACCGAATCTTGCAAGCTCTTAGACAATGCAACCCTTTCATTGGAAATAATCAAAACAATCCGGTAATGTTAAAAAAAAACAACAACAACCCATACTTTATGAAGAGGATGATTTGGCTAATTTTTGCACAACCCAACAATCTGGGTTTCATTTAGAAGATGGCCACTCTCACTCAAAGATGTGGTGGGGATGGGGAGGAGCTGTTTCCTCGACTTAAGCCTCTTTCTCTTAAACAACCTTTAAATGTCATTGCTTGCAAAACCCTGGCAGGAGGCATGGGAGAATTGGATGGACCCCTCAGGAACTGTGGTTTTGAGTTGCTTTCAACATGCTTTTGCGTCGAGTTGGGGAGCCTGCACGGAAAGGACTTGGGAGGATCTTGTTGTGCTCCTCTCCATCCATTCTCTCTGAGATAATGCCAGTAATTGTGGTACACAATTGTATGGAAGTCCATGCGGGATGCTGTCTGTTTTTGTTCCCGTATACGTTGCTTTCTGTGAGATAGGCGGTCGTATTGGATCTGAGAAGTAAATGCATAAGCAATAGAAAAGAATATCTCTAGTTCAGGATTGAATTGTGGGGTGGTCTCTGAGCTTGGTGGTTTTCTTGCAGATGTTTCATGACCCAATTAAGTCATTTCAGTGCTAGAAGGAAATGAAAGAACCTCTCTCCCTTCTAGCACTGATGATGTTACTTAGTTGGGTAATGAAATGTCTACAGGAAAACCACTAAGCACAGAGAGCACCAAGGACCACACAGTTCTCCTCCTCCTCCTCCTCCTCCTCCTCCTCCTCCTCCTCCTCCTCCTCCTCCTCCTCCCCCCTCCACTCCCTTCTAGCACTGATGATGTCCCTAGTTGGGAAAAGAAACATCTGTAAGAAAACCACCAAGCTTAGAGAACACCAAGGACCTCACAGTTCTCCTTCTCTTCTCCTTCTCCTCCTCCTTCTCCTCTTCCTCCTCCTCCTGCTCCCCCCTCCCACTCCACTCCCTTCTAGCACTGATGATGTCCCTAGTTGGGAAAAGAAACATCTGTAAGGAAACCACCAAGCTCCAAGAGCACCAAGGACAGCACAGTTCTCCTTCTTCTCCTTCTCCTTCTCCTTCTCCTTCTCCTTCTCCTTCTCCTTCTCCTTCTCCTTCTCCTTCTCCTCTCCTCCTCCTCCTCCTCCTCCTCCTCCTCCTCCTCCTCCTCTCCTCTTTCTCCTCTTCCTCCTCCTCCTCATCCTCCCACTCCACTCCCTTCTAGAATTGATGATGTCCCTAGTTGGGGAAAAAAACATCTGCAAGAAAACCACCAAGAGCACCAAGGACCTCACAGTTCTCCTTCTCCTCTTCTTCCTCCTTCTCCCACTCCACTCCCTTCTACCACTGATGATGTCCCTAGTTGGGAAAAGAAACATCTGCAAGAAAACCACCAAGCTCAGTTGAGCCCCAAAGACCCTCACAAATAAATAAACACCACATTGTTACATCTTGCAAAAAAAAAAAATGGTTTTCCAAGGAAGTGGACATCATGCTCAGGTTCTAAGGTTCTCAGTGTCCATCTGACTTATCTAATTTTTTTTCCCCATCACTTGCAGTGACCTGAAGGATGGCACGTCATACCATTATCGGGTTTCTGTTGTTTCTGAACAAAAGGAAAGCGAGCCTTCTCCCACACTGTCCTACACACACGGAAAAGGCTACTGCGGTGATGGGATTATCCAGAAGTAAGTACAAATCTTTGTTGTTGTTGTTGTTGTTGTTGTTGTTGTTGTTGTTGTTACCTCACATTTTCTGCTTTCACTCAAGCTTTCGGGTTCCGTGCATGTCAAAGATTTGTTCAAATTCGGTATTTTCCCAAAATAAAATCTCAATGTTTTCAGTAAGAAGGTTTGAGCCCACCTTGATTTTTTATCTTAAAGCACAAAACAGTTAGTTTTGTGCTTTAAGGAAGAACTAAAATCTCTCCCAAGTCTCCTGATTTCTAGTCTGGGGCCTTTAACCGTTTCCCCAAACTGGCTGACCTTCAATCAACATTCGTTGTTATGTTGTTCCTTCCTTACAAATCCCCATAATTGTTTTATGATGTTTCATCCCACTTTAAGAGGCATCATTATTTATTTTGTTCTAAAACCAGAAATACTCCAGAGAGGCAGATTCAATATGCCAAGGCTGTAACCGTCCCTTGCCCATCACAAGAAATAAAAAAACAGAACGGGATCCCAAAGTCATTGGTGCGAGATGTTCCGCAAAGGATTTATGGCAACGGGAAGATTGAATTTCAGTCGTATTTCAGATTTCCTCTAAAGTTCTCTGCATAAGTGAGCACAGACCAAAATGTCCTCTCTTCAGGAGATGAGTAAAGTTGGTGATGGTGGGTGACTCCACCATCTCATCCTTGGCCAATCAGCCAAAGTCCCTGGCTTTAATATTTGTAAAGCTGATAGGAAATGTTTGTTTAGAATGTATTGGTGCCCTACTTTGCCAATCTTTCTGATGGAGCTTACAGGAGTTTTCATTGAGTCCAAAACATATTTAAAATTTCCTCCCTCCCACCCTCCCTACTTCCTTCCTTCCCTCCTTTCCTTCCTTCCTTCCTTCCTTCCTCCCTTCCTTCTTCCCTCCCTCCCAGTTTCCTCCCTCCTTCCCTCCTTCCCTTCCCTCCCTCCTTCCTTCCTTCCCTCCTTCTTTCCTTCCTTCCTTCCTCCCTTCCTTCTTCCCTCCCTCCCAGTTTCCTCCCTCCCTCCTTCCCTCCCTTCCTTCCTTTGTCCCTTCCTCCTTCCTTCCCTCCCTCTTTCCTTCCTCCCTCCTGCCCTTCCTTCCTCCCTCCCTCCTTCCCTCCCTCCTTCCTTCCTTCTTCCCTCCCTCCGTTTCCTTCCTCCTTCCTTCCTTTGTCCCTTCCCCTTTCCTTCCCTCTTTCCCTTCCTTCCTCTTTCCTCCCTCCCTCCTGCCCTCCCTCCCTCCTCCTTCCCTTCCCTCCCTCCCTTCCCTCCTTCCTTCCATTGTCCCTTCCTCCTTCCTTCCCTCCCTCCCTCCTTCCCGCCTTCCTTCCTGCCTTCCTTCCTTTCTTCCTTCCTTCCTTCCTTCCTTCCTTCTTCTCGTTTTGGTGCATCTTGTAGAAAAGCAAAAAAAAAACCACAACAACACTTAAGGAAGAAATTGGCTTAACACTTAAGGAAGAAATTGGCTTAACCTCTTAAGGTTTAAGCCTTTAAACCTTAAGGTCTCCTTTCCAGATCCTCCCACCCTTTAAAATTTATTTTAATAATCCGATTGTTCTAAACGGTTGTTTCTCTTGGCAGAGACCTCGGGGAAGAATGTGATGACATGAACAAAGTGAATCGTGATGGATGCTCCCTCTTTTGCCGTCGGGAATTATCTTTCAACTGTGTAGGTGAGTTTGGCTGGGGTATCTTTCTCATAAGCAAACACCATGCGCGTACATCGCATGGATAAGGAAAGGGTTGAGCGATTGAGAGGGATGTCACTGTTACCATCCATCAAGGTGACCTGAAGTGAGATAGAGATCAGCATCTCTTCAGCAGGTTTCTTGGACCAAGAGGCAACTGCTGTGGAGCTAGTCTTTTCTTTCCAAGCCGGGAATATAAAAATAAATTCACCTCTATAATAATAATAATAACAATAATAATAACAACAACAACAGTCAAGCTTTTGGCAGCCAGGGTTATGAGAGCTTGTACATCTTTTATGTGAGAATGCTCAGAATAATTGGAGATTTCAGGCAATTTAAACTGGGTTTTCTTATATCTTGGCCTATTTACATTTTGTAGATTATCCTACTTATAGTCAAAAACCATCTCTATTTTAATACAGACATTCATAGTCTTTTCCCCTCTAATTCCTACCCATTTTCTTTAACCACTCATAAAAACTGTTCCATATCCGGTAGTATTCTGAGTCTTCTTTATCTTTAATTTTAAAAGTTAACCTATCCATTTCAGCACATTCTAAAATTGTCCGAATCACTTCTCCATCCGGCGGAATGTTTTCATTTTTCCAGTATTTAGCAAATATAATCCTTGCCTCTGTCAGTATATATGTGGTCCCTTTATCGTAACCCTCTGGTATTATTCCCAA